AACCACACGTAGGCAAGCTGCTGCGTCGAGAATGTTACTGTTCACGTACTTACTTAGATACTACATGTGTTACTGAAAAATTCCAGTAGAGGGCACCAAAGAACTCAGCTCCTTCAAGATTTGCGGAATGCATAAACACAGATGGCGACATTCAAAGAAAAAAACATTTGGGTAACGTTAAGCTCAAGAAGATAATGACAATTACGCATTAGTGGGTGAAATGTCGAACCTCTAAATCAGACACATCGTGAAAACAGCTCTAACTTGAACTCTGTCGATCAGCTCCTTCAGTTCTGTTGATGATAACGTGCTCACTGACCATTTCAAGGACTCACTACTGCATCTTGCATCACGTGAACCTACGCAACATTCAGACGCAGGATATGAGAAGCAGACATCTTGCATACAGCATATTCCAACCCTAAAAACTGCCTTGTCATCAATTACAACCATAACTAGGTCATCACCTTGTTGCCCTCGGTAACTACATGGCACTCCCTGCTGCAGTCGTGGTTGCCGCAAGTCAAAGGTCGTCCGCAAGGACGTTTGCAGGAGAAAGGACCCCGACGATGACACGGCACCGGACTGACCTGAGTGGGGAGAGGGAGAAAGAGAAAGAGAGACATTTTAGAATCACGTCCAACCTCGTCTGAAGGTGAACGAGTGCGTAGAATACAAAGTACTTAAATACATGAGTCAAGACGGATGAATTGAAAGAGGGATAGAGCAAAGGAGGACAATATTCAGAGTGAAAGATGGAAAAGAAAAGATCAGGGGAGGGCAGGCAGAGAGTGCAGATAAAGAGAGGAAGTGATGAATCAAACAATGTGAGGTTTTACTGAAACAGAGCGTGGGATTGGTTACAGCATGTTTGTTTACGTGTGAGGTCAAAGGTCACAAATATGACTACGTGAGAAAACAGAGGAGGAGATTGGTTCATACCTCATGTTTTCCAAAACAGGATCTGAAACACAAACAAGATGTTTTCAGACATTATGTCATGGAAAATGTTCGGAAAAGTCGGATGAGAGGCGACGCCAAACCATGAGACTCCGTTAAAATGATCGTTACATTAAGTTGCAGGTTCGCTGTGAATGACTTCGTGATATCATCAGGTGTCGCACATGTGAATGTAGGCAAGTGGACATGTGTCACATGGGACATGTGTACGACACCTGTAGATGTCATGCAAGGTACTTAGCGACATCTAGTGTTGAAGTTACATAGTACAACCAACTGAACCACATGGACGAGATGTTTTCAGACATGAACTCTGTAAACTTGTGTCTGGACATTTTTTAGAATTTTTATTTTCTCGTGAAGAAGCAGCAGGAGATTGTTCAGGTCGGACTCATTCACAATCTCAGAAACGTGTGGGGAACATTCAGGTGAGGGGTGGAGCCTGTAGAGCAGCAGGAGGCGGGACATGGCGTATAAAGTCTAATCAGTGTTTTTGTTTACAGCACATCCCACCAGCGTTGGCTCTTATCACCAAAAGCTCTGGAATCTCCACGTCTTTCTTCTTCATCTACGTGTATGGCTCCTCTTCGTCATCCTGAGATATTTGGATTCTTCCGGTTTCACATCTGTCCGTCATTTTACAAGGGGGCTGCAGGAAAAGTTCCAGAAAATGTCCAGAGCAAGTGACTCATTTGTGTTCTCACACACAAAGCACCTCTAGTTTCATTGGGACATTAAACAGCTGCAGAGATGTTTATATAGACTATTTTGTAAATGTGTAAATAAATCTCCAAATGTGTTATGAGAGAAGTCGTTGATGTCTTCGTTGAAGACAAACTCCAGAAAATATCCAGACACAATTTTCATGTTCATGTTGAACAACATCTAATTTCTCACACACAGCATGCAGAGTGTTTTTTAATCTCAGCTTTAATGGTCCGTGACAGAGCCAAAGCACCCTGGAATGTGTTTGTGATTAGTGTGTGTGAGATTAGTGAGTGTGTGTAGTGTAGTAATGTAGTCACGGAACCAAAACAAAACTCAATTTGTCATTCTGAGTTTTTAAGAACTCTCAAATCTGTTTTATTAAAATTGTATAGTGTGTAATAATGTGTATTTTGTGTTTTCATTTTAATGTTGCTGCAGTTTTCTTCAGTTTCGAAACTCAAATCTCCTCCCTGTGGTTTTAGTTCCTCTCCATGTGGCATTCACAATAATGAGGTCACTGTGACCTAAATTTGAAGAAATTCTTTCAAGGCGTTCTTGAGATATTGTGTTTACAAGAATGAAACGAACAGACAGATAATCTAAAAACAATATACCTCCAGCCACTAGGTGTCGCCGTAACAGAAGCCAAGACAAAAAAAAAAACAGAATTATTCATGTTGACGTTTGCACGTGTTTGACCTACGTTGGTATTGGTACTTTACATGGCGGACAGGGCAGAGCTTTCTTCACAAATGCAGGTTCAGATGGCTGCTCCCACGGACCTGCTAACTGCACCTGAACACACACACACACACACACACACACACACACA